GGCAAACCTCTTCACAAACAAATTTTCCAACTCTGTGAACGTTTTGATTGATTCGTTAGACAATTATGTATATCAATCAAATACAATCCCTAAAAGACTACTCATGAACTAGCGGAAGAGTAATGCCTCGCTACCCCCCGTATTGAAACAGCTTGCCCCGAAGTGCACCGTGCTGTCAGGGGTTTCCCGTTCCATCGAAAGACTTAAAGGTTGGTGGTACAAAACCCTTAGGATATGGGATGACATCGAACTCCTCCGGGTAGGGTCTACCCTTTGAAACCGATGCGTCCCCTTTTGATTGGGCTAAGGCTTCCTTTACTTGTTGTTCGACTAGTTGCGTAATGTCCTTTTCCGACACCATGTTTTAAGTTTGATCTTTCTTTGGCAGATCGTCTCGGTTGGCAGAAGCGACTTCCTTTCTTTCAGTAATATGAACAATCTCTGGCTGGTTTATCTCTGGGGATGCCACTTGCTGTGAGTGTGACTTTCCTTGCATTGCAATCATGGAGGTCATCATGTCTTCGATCTTCTTTTCAAGACGGTTGATTTGTTCATCTCTTTGCCAGAGGACCCATTGCCACTCATCTGCAGTGCTCTCCTCTAAAGACAGAGCATCGCGCGCAGATGTCGGGTCTCGACAACGTTGATTCTGGCGAACTCCTCATCCATGTAGTATGACAGGTCATAATCTTCATCATCGGAATCTACTCGTTCTTTTGCTAGCTCGGTGATTTCAGCTTTGTGCTTCCCCAGTTTATCATTGACTTCCTTCCCTTTAACTACTTTAAGATCAGTTGGAGCTTCTCGAAGGTCTTCCTTTCCTGTAATAAGTTCCGAGGCAACTGCAACGGCGGTGATCAGAGTATTGGACTTATGCTCCCTTTCAAGAGAATGCTCCCCTGACTTTTCCAAAAGTATTGGTTCGATGACCCTAGGTATCCATACTTTCTTTATTGACGTCGATGCTTTGAGACAGGGTGTCTCAGTAGCAACATCAATGCGTTGAAAGGGAGTGTGCTCCCTATCGTGCGGACCAGATACAATAAAGAATGGTCTCTTCCTATTATTCTTCTTTGGCTAGCTCTTGAGTTGGATGTGTCTTTGTGCTTTCCTGCTTGATCTAATCTTCCAATCAAATCACTTGACCAAAATATCAAACTCTTAGCGAGAAATTTTTGACAATTTTGACACTCAAAATCACAAAACAAAAAATGATCAAAACTTTTAAAAAAATGAATGAACAAAAAAAGTCAAAAACATAAACTAAAAATTACATTCAATCCTTTTCACTGGGTACCTCAAATCCCCAACGAGAATTCTCAAACTTCCAACTCAAATATTTCTATCGAGTTGGGGATTCACGAGCGGAAGACTCAACTCAAATTCAATCTCAAATTTGGTTTCATTTGTAATTTGTCATGAGTATGTTTGCTTAAAAATTCCTTCAGATTCTGTTTTGGTCGACACGAATACGCGCGGTGTGTTTGTTTAGTACACCACAACTATTGGTGGTCCATTTGTTGTTCTCTTTTTTTGTGAGATTCATCTCCATCTCTAAAGCTCAGGATCTAACCATTTGACTTTTCTAATGACTCTTTTAGAGGACTAGTATTAGGACACACACCACTTAGAAAATTCAAACCATTTATTGACTCTTTGTAGTCTCATATGTGTGGTTTCAACTCTTTAAAATTTAGTTGCGTTGGTTGGAATCAACATATGGAAACTTAAGATGAGTTCCCATAAGAATTGAAGAAGCCTTAAGAAAACTCTTTGAACTTAGAAGTTTAATTCTTTCAAACAGCACACACATACACCACAATTCACACACATACCACACACATACACCCACACATACACCACAATTCACACACATACACCACAATTCACACACATACACCACAATTCACACACATTCACATACATCATCCCCACTACAATTCACACACATTCACACACACATACACAGACACATACACATCACCCCAACTACAAATCAAACACATTCACACATACACAGACACATACACATCACCCCAACTACAATTCAAACACATTCACACACACATACACATGCACACACTTCCAATACAATTCCTACACATTCACACACACATACACATGCACATCACGCCCACTACAATTCACACACGTTCACATACACTCACATCATACGTACATACACTCCATCATCAAAATTAAAATCAAATTTTTAAAAATTCCCCACAAACAAAAAATCAAAAGGGACAAAACCAATTTAAAAAAAAAAAAACCATCATGATAAACTTAAAAGTCCACCATCATAAATTCAAAAACAAGAGAGGGCCCAAACTCGTCAAATTCAAACCCAAGCCCAAGTCCACCCACCAAAATCAAAGCCAAAATAACACCAAAAAAAAACTCTCATGACATGATTTAAATCTCCTCACCACATTAAGGATTTAATCAAACCTAAAGTATAATGTACCATGATGAGAAATGTCCAAGTTTGGACCCCACGTCACACAAAAAACCCAAAAATCATTAAAATAATTTTCCATGCAAGCCACCTAGCTTCATCGAAGCCATCTACAAGCCACCATTCCATAATTTAGCCACTCTTTCAAGATGTCCAAAAAAGTGATTATCCACAATAATGACTTACCAAAACTCATGCTTAACTCAAATCCCTATGACTAAGACTTGTCCACCCAAACCCCCATGAGGCTCAACCATCATGATATGAAAAAGATTATAAATCCACATGGCGACTCATATGGATTATATGTGTTAATTGATTAAAAGTAATTTAAGTATATATCATAATAAGAAAAGGAATTTAAGTCTATATGGTGACTCATATGGCTTTCATCTAAAACTATTCACCAATTTAAAATGAGTTACCACTTTATGATTGCTATGTAGTCATATCACTACATATACACCTCTATATACACATATATGAAGCAATGATAGTTATCTTAAGAATAATTGAATTGGGAATAAACAATGCATAAATTTCTTCTAAAATCAAGTCCTAATTAATAATAATTTGCTTGTAAGTCACAATACAAGAGTTAGATCCATACAAATTCTAATGTTCAATCATGGTTCTAGGTGGATCACATCATGTAATAAATTTTAAGGAATAAATAATTTTCACAACCATCAAATAAATGTTGGAAATTTGAGGTATTTAAAAAATTTTATGTGCAATTAGATTCCACAATACATATTAGAAAAAATAAATCAAAATGTATAGCTTTATTCATTTAATATATTCCATGCCCAAAGTTTATACATAAATGAAGATGCAAGTCTTTTATCTTGTTATACTTATACACTTTAGAGACTCTTAATCTCCAAGATTCCATCCCATATGCATACATGAATTTCCAAATTTTAAAAGAAAAACAAATAAATTAAAACTAAATAAATATGAATTTCCAAGAATAATACACATTAATTTTCTCTAGATTTATTTGTGTTAGCCCAATACCAATTTAAATAGTCATTTTTAGCATTTTAATTGATTTAAACAAAGCAAGAAGATTTATCCATCTTAGTGCATATATTTATAACCAAATACCATGCTAAATTACCATTTCACCACATAACTGTAAAAAAAGAAAATGTAATTCAAACTATACCCTCACCTTAATTTGCATGAGATAATTTTCATTATAGCATATGATGTATACTAAGTTAGTGTGGTTTCCGAACTAACTCAAATTTGTTATTTAAATTATGGATAAAAAATTATTTAATTTAAAACCAAGAAATATTATAATTTACATATTACTGATTTAAATATAAAATTAATATTTTTTATTTTTTATATTTTTTAATCTTTAAAGTGGTGTTGAGAACCAAGAAATGGGAACAATCCTCCCTAAGGTGGAATGACGTGTAAAAAAATTAATTAAAAACTTAAAAGGTTTATTAGATTATACTTATGATTGATTAGATTAAATCTAGAGAAAGGAATTGGTTTATCATGATAAACTATAGAAAACTATGTCTATAAAAAATAGGGCCCACTGAAGTGGATGCATGATTAATCAATTCAAACTGGAGGATGATTACTAGTATACATAAAATTAAGTAGAACTAATGAATAAAGGTCAAAAGTTAATTATTAAATTAGAAATAACTTCAACTAAGTTTATTAAGGAGAATGACTATTAAACCACCTAGTATTAACTAAAGGAGCCATGGCTTGTAAATCAAAAGTCAATAAGACTTTTTAAGGTTAATTATGTAAAATGAGAGGGCTAATGAGATAGCAAATAGAGTGCTATTTAAAATAATGAGATAGCAAATAGAGAAGTTTTAAAGAAGATCATGTATTATAAATTTCTAGAATCGAGATATTAAGTGTTTCTCTTTTAGAATATTCATTTTATCCCAAATTTTGAGTGTTTCTCTTTTACAATATTCATTTTATCCCAAGTGGTAGTTGATTCATTTTCAATCTTTCCTAGAGTCTCTCCATTGTCAACCTTATGTTTTAAATTACCAAACTAATTTTCTCTTTTTGAACATTGGCCATTGCTTGATAGACAACTTATTGTTTAAAAAAATTATCCAAATTTAGCATTCAACTATTAAGAATATTAAAATCCTTTTTTCAATAATAAGACATTCAATTTTGACTTTTCTTATTAGCCACCATCCACATCAGAATTTAATGTCTATGAATTTGATAAGCTTGTTTTTAACACTTTACATTATGTGCCAACATGATTTTTAATCCCCAATTTCAGGATAAATTAACATTATGATTAGAATACACCTTATGTTCACCTGCTCTTAGCTTCTAAATTGTGAAGTTATATATTAACCTTATTAATGCCACCACACAATTGCTTTTTCTCATTTAACAATTCAATCAATCCTGATAATTCCATTCTTTTTGCACATCAGAAACATAACCAAGCTAACAATAAGATGTGTTAAAGAAATTAGTTATAAACAAGAAATTTTATTGAATCAAAAGCAATCCAATTATACCTGTCTTACAACAAGAAATTTATTAAATTTATTCCTTTGAATCAATGTGTAACATGCCATTATCCATGAACCAAAAGTAATATGATCCCATGCAGCATCATACAAACTTCTAAATTTGATGAGAAAATTCCCTCAATTTTCATTCCTGTATGTTGCTTATGGGTCCTTTGAACCAATGCCTTGCACTTAGGACCCAAGAGGCAAAAACAAAGAAGAACACTCCACCAACAGCAATGGGAGTGTAGTTCAGAGTGTTCTTCTCAATCGGATAAGCCACCGGGAGGGAGAAGAGGACAGTTATCACCGCCACCCAAATCACCGCAACCCAGCCGCATAATACACTCCAATGGCCGAGAGAGAAAGGACCAGAAACAAACGACTGTCTACCCAATACCAGTCTGCACAAGATGGGCAATGCATATGCAATGTAGAGCCCAATTGTTGCTATTGAAACCATGGCTTGAAATGCAACCAGGCTTCCCAGAGACTGCAACATCAGTTTTTTGGAGGATTTATATACATACTATCACTCAATTCTTATGAATTTACATGTCTAATGTCTAAACTTCATTTTTTACAAATATGCCACATTACTTATGCATGAAAAAGTTCTATTTCACTTTTTAAATTATCTCTCATCTTGTTATTCTATTATCACCATAGTGTTATCTTGCTATAACTGGAGTTATGTTGACATACCGTAGTGGCCATGCAGAAAGAGATGGCCAAAGCAAGCCAAACTGCGTTTGCTGGAACTTCCTCCTTATTCACTTTGCACCACAGTGATGAAAAAGGCATTGCTCCATCCCTTGAAAACGCATAAGTCATTCTGCAATCACAAATAAAATACATGTATGTTAACAAAAATTTACATGCATAACTATCAATTCCAATGTATTTACATATCTAACACCTAAACTTCCATACATACATAAATATATATATATATATATATATATATATATACACACATGCCACCTTTCTAATGCATGAAGTAGTGTATTTCACTTTTCTACAAGTTAAAATAGTTGTAATTTTGATGTGATATGAAACATTTGTGCTATATAAATGTAAAAAATTAAAGTTTTGTATACATTGACCTGGAATTGCTAGCGACTGCACCAATGCCGCAGAAGAAGACTGCAACAGCAATAAATCCCAAACAAATTATTCCTCCAACTCCACTTCCATATCTGTTCTTAAAGACAAGGTAAAAAACCTCTGCAATGGCGTAGCCGCCAGCATCATTATCACTTCTTAGGAGATATGGAATGTTTCTCACTGTAAATGTGATGCTGATCAAATACATATAGCCAGCAACAGTTGATATGGCCACCGAGTTGATTATTCCCTTCGGCCCATTTATATCAGCATTCTTCGTCTCCTCGGTCTGTAATTTAATCATAAAGTTATTTCAAACATGTTATATAAAGATTAGAACTTTTTGTTTCAATTATACCATATGAACAGAAGCATCATATCCTCCCATGGTATATTGGCTCGTAAGAAGGCCGAGAACAAATATATAGAACTTGTTATGAATTCCTGCGTCATTTTCAGGGTTGAAGTGAGCAAACACAAACTTGGGGCTTGCTTTCTCGGTGGCCACAGAAGGGATGAGGATTGTGAGCAGGAAAACACCTACTCATATATTCATATTATTCAGCTAATTTGATCTGTTTGATCATATTATTCATCTAAAAAGAATGATTGGCGTCACCTATAACGTTCCATACAGCACCCAACTGGCATAAGAAGGAGACCCACTTGACTGAGATGCTGTTTATGGCGCCATGGATGATTAAGATAGCAGCATAACAGCCCAAAACAGCATATTTAGAGGCCAAATATCCGCCCCCATTTGCTCCTCCAGTGCTCAGCAGAATGATCACTTGCAGCATCTGTGCTAATGAGAAATCTATGCTGGTAATTCCTGCCCACTGAAATTCATGAATTTTCTTAAAAAGGAGATTAATTTATCCAAATTTAGAAGTGGTTTATAAGTTATAAATACCTGCCCAACTATGTTGAACCTGCAGATAGATACAAGGAACTGATGAGAAGAGATGAATCGAGTTAGAAATTTAAGGGGAAGGACGAGTTAACGAATGAAAAGATTACCATCCAGTGATCCAGGAAGCAAGAGGAGCCCAGCGGCGTCCGGAGAGCTTAGCGCTCCAGTAATAGAGGCCGCCGGCGGTGGGGTAGGCGGAGCAGATCTCCGCCATGGATAGAGCCACACAGCCGTTGAAAAATGAAACCAGCAGCCATCCCAACGTGACTGAAACCGGTCCACCATACCGAAGGCCTGTATTGTACGTTGTGGTGATCCCAGTCAGGACTGATATGATGGAGAAGGAGAAAGCGAAGTTCTCCAACATCCTTCATTCCGACATGATCGATCAGAAATAGAAAGATGGAGAGAAAAAAAGAGCAGTTATAAGCAGAAACAGGAGGGGCTGATTATGTACGTGAGATGGCGCTTGAGTTCTTGCTTGTAGCCGAGTTGAGAAAGCTTTGCTTCATCAGAGTCTGCCTTCTTCTCATCTTCTGTGTTCGTTTCCATCTCTGAATTTGATTCAGTTTTCGGTTGAAAGGACATGGATGAACTGAGCACAACACTGTTTTTCTTTAATCTCTAATTTGCTGGAGGTGGAGGAGCAGAGCAGCATGGAAGAAAGCCAAATTACAGAGAGACGATGGGTTCTATGTCTTCCTGTTCTCACTATGGGAGAAGCTTGAGCCAGTTGGAAGAAAGAAATTTCCTCGTTTAAGGTTATATGTTGGTCTGCGTATATTGAGAGATATATCTGTAATTCTTTTATCAGAGGAAGATTTACATATATACCACTCAGTTCTCATATACAAATTTTCCTTTTTATTTATTTATTTATTTATTTATTTTTACCTATTTGCCTTCTTACTTATGCATGAAAAGTGTATTTCAATTTTTAAAAATTAAATTAATGATATTTTTAAAATGATAGAAGAGATTTGGATGGCATAAATGTAGAAAGCTAAATTTAAGTGTTAGACATGTAAATACATAGGACTTGGCGGTATCCATGTAATTGCCCAAACATTTTAATACTATGCTCATATATTTTATGAAAAATATTAATTAAGCTATCTAGTTTGATGCATAAAAAATAAATTTAATAATTTAAATTTTTATAAAATAAGTGTTTTTTTATTATAAAACATTTTAAAAAATAGTTTGATATTCCATAACTAAAATTGTCGGCACAAATCTCAAAGAGAACGAACAACAGAGAATATGAAGCTTACCTTCAGGGAAAGCGATCAACTGACAATTTAACGCCAAGAATGTGAATACGCGTCTCTAAATATGTTCAGGATAGATCAAATCTCCAGAAATGGACCACTACAAGTAGCGACAAAAATCTGTCAATGATAAGATGCAAATCATCCCGACAACAAGTCTTGTTGGATACTCTGTATAGACAGCGATAAGATCCGCCCAAGACCTTGCAAGAGAGAAGATCCGACTAAGGCGACGAACTGATCAAACAGACGAGACATGAGTTCTGTAAGACTTGAGCCAAACCGCAAATGAGCTACGACTCGCTCAACGAAATAGATCGACCCATCAGTCGACCGACCGAAGCCATAGGTCCCACAAAACCGCTAAACCATATCACTTGTCAAGTCGGGCGATTTAATTCAGACCAACCAATCACCGCCTTAGAATGAATGGATTTCAGTATGACGACCGACACGATTGATCACCGGCCAGTTGACAGTATTTACTTAAGCTAATAAGTTATGGTAAACCGTTACTCTCTGTAGATATTATGACGACCATTAATTCAAATTTTATGCATTAATTCTATTAAGAGTGATTACTATAACAATTCTCATCTTTCTTAATTATTCTAATTAGGCCTCTTTAAATAGGTGATCTCAAGAGGATTAAAGCGACTGGCTCTCGGGCTTCTTCTGGTAAAATTATCGTGCTCTCTACCATTCTCTTACTTCTCTGAGTTCCGACTCTCAAGGTGTGCTCATCAAAAGATAAATTAGAATTCAACTAATATGTACTGGCCCTCCTACATTTTTGGTAAGAACATAAATAGACCTTTAAATTCAAGATCTTGTATATACCGTGTTTGTTTAATGTAAATAAAAAATAAATAAAAATCGAACAATACAAAACGTAAAAACAAAGTCAACAATTGCTTGTTTTTTTCTTTTTGGCTTTCTTTGTGGGCCAAAATGTGGCTTTCTTATTAAAACAGAGCATGTAAATTTAGGGGACATCCAATAGAAGCCACTTGCCATTTTCCTGGACTTTCTCTACTTCAATAATTGTGATCTTAGTTTAATTAAATATAACAATTCATGCAGCTAATTATTTTAGCTTTACATTTATTATATAATATCTACCAATATACTGATATTCCACCAACGAATTTTCATTCAACTATGACATGAACTTTGAGATTTCTTTTCCTTAAAAATATTAAGAGTTCGATTAAAAGTCATTCCAAATTCTAATTTCGACACTTACAGTCAAATTGATTGACTCAACAAGACGGACCCAACAGTATCAAAATTGATCAAATCCGAATAAAATGGAGTCCATGATCAAACCTCAAGAGGTTGATGTAATGATAAAGATGAAGAAGACGATCAGTGGCATAAGGGGGAGCGCGAAGCAAGCCGATCACTGTGGTCTGGAATGTGAGAGAGGAATTCTAAGAGACTTAAGTAGGAATGACATAACAAATCTGTGCCCACCGAAAAAGGACGTGACGGCTCAAAAGACGGACCGTCCTATGTTGGTCAGAGATCACCCAAGTTGACTCGATAATGTACGTTCAAATGACTCATCGTAATGCCAATAGAGACAACCGAGGCTTCCCTCGAGGTACCTTCGAGTCACGGGATTAGTCCAACTTTAGCGGTATCTACTCGCCTAAAAAACAAACTCTGAAGGGGGGTCATACTGATTTGTTCAGAAAAAATAGATTTAGATTACTATCTCATTACTGATTATGCTTGGTTTTTTATTTATCATTTTGTATTAATAAGCCAGGGAACCATGTAATGCTTAAATTTTATTGTTTATATTTATACCAACCTAATTTTTCATATCACATTAAAAAATAGTGTCAACATAATTTTTAAAATGTGAAATACACCCTCTCATACAGAGAATGGTGGTATGCATGTAAAAACTGAAGTTTAGTAGTTATATATGTAAATACGTTAAAATTGAGTGGTACTTATGTAAATCTCTCTCTTTTTTTTCTTAAAGCCTCTAGCTAGTGGATTTTGAGATAAATGCACTTCTTCAGTTTGCACTTACATCAGTTGTCAAGCTTCACATAAAAGTCGAAGGATCTCATTAGGAGATTCCTCTATTCTTTGTACATGCCAAGTAGAGGAGGCATTATGGTATTGTGGTGCATAACTTGTATTAACTTCTCTAACTATTTGATAGGATGGTTCGTATTGATTCCTCTTGATGTTATATAATTTTTTTAAAGGATTTGGGTGCTTTAATGTTTTCTTAATTGAGGAATTTTGAGCTTGTTAAATTCCTCATCGAGAAGCTTAACTTTATTACAAATATTTCAAATTTGGAGTTCATTTGACCTTTCAATTCATGATCAAAATCCTCCGCTTGAGCTTCAATAGATTGATCTAAGGCTTAATTTGACTCAAATTGAACTAATTCTAGAGTCGTTGATTTGAAATTTTATGAAACCGGAGCTTAGATGATCATGAATTTTGATTCATAAGTTTTTTATTAAAAAATACATTTAGATTTGTGTTTGATCATAACAATTTGTTGACGACTCATCAATTATAATAATATTATTTATTTAATTATTTCATTAATTAGGTCCAAAATGAGCCAAACATGATCGATAGATTCTTATTTACGTTCGACTTATTTTTAAATCGAGCTAAAAAAATTATTTGTATTCTGCTCACTTATCCAATCAACCGAATCAAACCCAAACTATTTTATTTAAGAACAATGAGTTTATTTTTTGAGAGGGTAAATTTAATACAGACCACCGAAAATTTGTTATTTACAAATCAATCATCCCATTTCATCTATTTTTAAAATGCCCACTCAAATATTTAAATTTACGATAAAATCTCAACAAACATTTTTTCAATTTTATCAAAATCTAGATAGTTTGATCGTAGCACGTATAAATACATTGGTTTGATAGTTAAAAAAAAAAAAAACATCGATGACTAGTTTATAAATATCAATATTTTGAGTGGTCCGCATGTAATTATTATTTTTCATGGGATTTAATTGCAACTGAAACTTAAATACAGCCCGAGGAAGTTTAATGCCATGTGCTGTATTTTAAATCTAGGCCTTAAACACATCTTAAGCACTTAATCTCTTGTCTCGAGGAACATGGGAGCCCATCTAAAATATAGTAGAAACTTGGAAAATTCAGCTTTCAATTAATGTCTTAAATTATCATAATTCTACATTTATATTGTGCACTAACCAAAGCACAAGCTTGCTTTTCTATGTGCTTTTTCATATCTAACACATAAATTTTATCTTTTACATTTATACCAATCTTAAATTTTCATATCATATAAAAAACTATCATCATTTTAGCTTTTAAGTGTATTTGAAAGTTTTGATACATTAATCATGTTTATAGTCAAATCATGGGCATAAAAGAACTTAAGTATTATAAAAAAAAAACTACACAGTGATTAAGAGAATCAATATTGATCATCCAATAGACTTATTTTGGAGATTGATCGAACTTACTGAAAGACTCATCTCAAAATTATAAATAAAACATCATTCTTCACTTGAAGGATGAGAATAAGAGAATATAGTGAATTGGTTACTAAAACTCAACACTTGAAGTCACAAGAATTATCAGTGGTCACTTGAGATAGCAGTCAAACACCAAAGCTCATCATCGATCACCAAAGATATCCACACCACCAACATTTGTTGCAGTAAACTATTGTCATTATAACCACCAAATATAGTTTGTGTAGCACAACTAGGACTATTGTAGCCAAATTATTATTACATAGGTATGATTGCCAATTTTTTGTAGTCCCCTCTTACATAATAAGGAAAAGAGTGGACATCTGCACTTTTAATATTTTAGTTGATTATTTTGATTGGGTTAAGTCCCTTGATCTTTCCCTTTGTAAGGGGTTTCCATGTAAAATACATAGTTGTCTATTTTATCTCTATTTGTGTGTGTGCGCTGAAAAAATATATTGAGCTGGGGCTTGAAATTTTCCTACACTTAAAAATTTTCTAGTGTACAATCATTTGGCTCTGTTTGTGATAAAAAATCTCATTTTCATAAAGTGTGAGCACTCATTCAGTGACTAATAAGTATAATATCCACCATTCCATGGAACAATCTCAAAGTCAATGACGTTAGACCTCTACTTTTTTTCTCTTATAAGAATCACCTTGTTGGGGAAGATTCCACTTTTTTCCCCTAAAAACCACATTTGAATAATTGAGGAATCTCAAAATAAGATCCTAAGCTTCTACGTGAAGCTCAACAATTACTGTTTGTGTAAACATATGGGGTTCTTCTACCCCAATATTAACTACTAATCAAGAATCCTAATACTAAATTTCTTCCTCGACCAGGCTGGGAAATTGAACTAACATACATTTTCAGTTCTACACATCCATCTTATGTAGCTGGACCAAATTGCAAACCTTCAATACTCATGGGAAACTCGATTCAACCCCGTTGTAATTCGTGATGAGCTATAATGTATGATTCAAGAAGAATTTTCTGAATGTCATAAGTTATTTTCTTACTCATTGTAAATACTATGTGTTTCCATGTTCGGCTGAGATAAACCTCCTACATTTTATTCCAACAAAATTCAAGCTCCTAAGTATTGATTCATACGATGGGGTAGCTGATCCATATGAACACGTAATATATAAATATATGCACTTACAACCAGCCTCTAATGTACTCTTCTGCTAAGGTCTTTTTGTCACCCATAAAGGTCAAACACGCACCTAGTTCTATTCCCTCCCAAAAGGAACTATTCATACCTTTAATGAACTTGTCAAGCTTTTTATTGAATAGTTTATAGAAATTTTAAGGATTATCAAAGACTCCTCTTATCTTTCTTTAATTCATCAAAATGAGGAAGAAAGAATACTTCCAAATATTCTCAACCCTCAATAAATTCTAAGAGTGGATACAAAATTATTAAGCTGTATATTCCTAAAGTGATTTTTTCCTTAAGTCATTTTATTCATCATTAATGTGAGAGATTGTTTGCTTTTATGTCGATCTCATCCATCATGTTGAGGATCAAATAAATACTAGTAAAACTACTAATGCACATTAAAGATAATCTGAATAATATTTTGGCAAATATAAAGATAATATGTATTTTATTCATTCATTATGCATATGACTTAGATTTAATTCTCCCCTGAAATGGAATTTATTCAAATTAGAATAGTCCCAGTTATGTGACTATATGTAAATTGCTCTTAAATTGATTGTTTAACCTTTTAAACCTAGATTACTCCTAAACTGAGCATTGATCTAATACTACAAAAGTAGACTAGTGATGAGTGGAGGCTCATCATAGGTAATTAGGGAATGTCCAATAAGAAGCATCCACCTATCCAATTGATTAAGGTAAGTGTTGAGGGCACTTGAATTCGATATGTCCTACTTACTGCTCTAAGATTGGTAGTCTTTGGGCTAGGACCTTGGTAGATCCAAGTGAGCTAGGGGTCGAGTGGGGAGCAGGCAACAGTTAGGATCCTTGATTAAGGGTTAAGTTGTGTTTGATGGTTGTTCGACATCAGGTTTATGCATAACCTAAGTGTAGAGTTGCATGTTGTTTGCTTTCAAATTTATGTAGAAATTGGCTAGAGTTTGGGTTGATTACTTTTCAAATTTAAGTTGGCTTGTTTAATTTTTTTATTTGATTTGTTTTAAGTTGAAGTTTAGTTTTAGGTGCAAGTTTTGATTTTAGTTACAGTTTAATTTTATTTTTTAAATTTACTCGTGACAAAGTGATTGAGGGTGTAGTTTTCTACGGTGAAATCACATATTCATATCACACATATTGCCTTCGGTATCACCTTTTGTAAAAAAAAAAAAAAAATCAATTTCAACTCTCATTATTTACCTCAAACATCCATTGCGAATGTACCACACACATTCATGGGTCCTGATATGAAGGTATACCTACATAAATATCAACTTATTAATTTGGAAACCCACATAATGTTAGATCCACAGATTTAATAACATGAATGAGTACATTGTGGAGATGTTAGTCTTAGCTCCATTGCATATGTAAGTCTAATAATCAAACAAATAAAGGTGATTAAATTATGTTCTATTATTGAATCAACCTAATTCTACTGACCTAAGAAGCCTTAAGCTTTCTTATAATCATTAATCATGCATGCTTATGATCTTAGAAGTAGCTTTTCTAACGAGACATCAAAGTCCTGAATCAAAAGTTTTTTAAGGTTTACATAAAATGTAATTAATCTTAAAAGTTGCTCAGAAAGCCATTAACCCCATTCTTAAGAGTATTAATATTGATACCATGGTTCATGCAAAATAAAATCGTTAAGTTATTTTAACCCTATTTAGTTTCTGTTGGTGAATTGATTTGTCATTAGTCATTTACTATAATTCATGATAACTTAACTTTTCGCGCGCAAAAATGCCAATAAGATTTATGGGGGCTTGAAATTTTGTTATTTTGATAAATCATCACCATTATTATTAGATCCCATCATTCACATGTTGAAATGAATTTATGAATTTCTCTCTCTTATAAATCTTAGATCTTGAAATGAGTAATCAAATATTTTATTAATATAAAACAATATTTTATAATTTTTATGCCAAATAATTTCCAATTTTCAACTCTAGATTTGCTAAATCTAAATTTACAAATTTATTAAATCTCATTTGACTTAAACCTTACATAATGTAATTCAATCCCTAACTCTTAAAATTGAAAGTTTAACTTTTTATTAAGCAAAACCATAAATAATATTTGGGATAATTTAATATATTTAGTTTTGCATATATATATATATATATATATATATATATATA